GTGCTGATCTGCCCAAGCCTGGGGAACACTGAATTCACTCCACGTGAGAATAATTTATTTGCAGTCTCCCTGGCTGATATAAACAAACTATTGCCAAGGGAAGGTGCAATAAAGCTGAGGGAGAGGTGCAATCATTCCACCAGCCCAGCATTTCCCACAGGTATCCTGCAAACAGAGCAGCCTTTCAAAGCTGCTCCTGAAAGGAGGTGAATTCATCTGCTTCAGACTGGTGAAAAAAACACTGATAAGAAAACAATAAATGCTTTGGGGAGCATCTGTGAAGAGCTGCTTATCATCCCTTTCCCTCCTTCTCATCCAGAGGAGAAGCAGGTGATGATTTACAGAATGACCACAGGATTTTACTTTCAAGTTTGTTCTGAGTGAATTTTTCTCCTGTTTGAGGTGAAGGTCCTTCCATCCTCCTCCAAGCATCCCTGTGAGGGGCTGGGAAGGAGGGACGCAGAGGGAAGACCCCCTTGGAGGCTGGAGCTGCTGCTGGTGGTGGAGGAGGCTGGAGCAAACAGCCAGACATCCTGCTCCAAGCTCTTGGCCCTGCTGCTGCTTCACTGCCAAGGCACTTGTGCTCTGGAGGGCTTTGCCCCCAGAAGTGGGGGTTTTATCAAGACTTGGCTAACTCTATAAGGAGCAGAAAAGTGCAGAATGTTGTTGGTGCCACTAGATGGGATCACTTGAGCATGCTATGAGACCTGCTTCTCCTTCCAGGTCAGGCATGGAGCTACCACGGCAAGGACCAGCACTGGGACAAGAAGGTTGGAGCCAGGGGGGTATTTTTGGCCAGGATCTGTGCACAGCCTGCTCCTGAAGTCTCTCAAATTTGCAGAGGACCTGGCCAAGCTGGTGACAGCTCCTCTGACCCTTTCCAAACGACACTCTGCACCTTCCCTTCCTTACGAGCGACTCGTGTTCTCTGTTTTTCTCCCCACTCACACAAATCTGCTCCTCCAGAGCCTGTCCTTCAGCACTTAGTCATGTTTTGAGCCCAGCCTTACACCCTTATTCATCCTACAGCTGCTGAAAGCTGAGGAAACCTGTGCCATGGCATTTCCAAACCACCAGCAAGCCAAGAACTGGTTGTTTTCATTCCTCTGTTATGCTTGGTTACCTTTTCCTTTATCTTGTCACGGAGCAAGGAAACACGTTGACAGGGTCAGGCCACAAGCAAGAAACATCCACAAAACACATTTTCATAGAACGTTTAGAAGTGGGTGTTTTATGCTGGGATGATCCCAAACACACAGCCAGAGGGCAAAATATATTAACCAGAGTTCTCAGGAATGAGAAAAAACACCTCAGTGGCATCATTAGCCAACCTTGTCCCACTTCCCTATTCCTTAAACCTGTCATTTCAAGGAACACAGAAGATTTTGATTCCAAGCACCATACACCACAGGACTGTCAAAGTTTTTTCCAAGTTTTGGCTTCCCCGACTTAACTTTAGCCATGTTGAAATGATAACTTGTGTCTTGTTATGAGGAGTCATTTTTGGGCCATCTAAAAACCTAGAACTATGATAATACACTAAGAAAAGAAGTTATTTTTGTGCCTATTCTCTACAAAGCCTTGGTAGGTGAATCAAATTGTTCTTATTGTCCTGCAGGTCTAAAAACACAAGCTATGGTTGGCCCTGAAACTAAAATAACCCATTTGTTCACCCTCACTCCTATTAGCATATGAACTTCAACCTTCAAAAAGCAGCAGTCTGAAATCTCTGGAGACCAGAGGTAAGAAGATAATCTTGGCCCCTATATAATGTCCAATCCATGGTCTCTTTGTTTCATGAGAAACGATATGTGTATTTTTACAAGAAAATTACTGACAAGATGGTGATCTTGATGTAAATCCTTGGTGCATTTAGAACAAAACATTTGTTTTAAAGGTGCATTTCCTTTAGAACCACTAGTCCTTTGCCACTGGGAGTATGTATGCTTTCATTTGGCCCCCATGGAAGGACTTTTACAGTGGGGCAGTTCCCTTGAATTCCACCTATCATCACATTAAAAATAAACAAAAGAACCTCAGCCAATTGAAGTACATCTTGGTCCATGTGGCAGCAAGGCCTGATGACCCTGAGCAGAGTGTAGGTGGTGCCTGCATGAGGGAAAAGTGACTGATGGGCACCTATTTAAACAGGCAGGCTGGTGGTGAAGGTTTCTAGATGCTGGAGTGTGTGAGATAACTCAGTCCAGCTTTCTTACAGTCAGCACTGACTCCAAAAATCAATACACAATGCTTTCTTCTGCTGCAATAAACCATGTAGAATTATGCAAAGCTCAGAGAGAAGATTAGATTTTCAAAGTCATAAACCATGCTGTCTGCTCAGGAATGGCTGTGGTGGAGGACAGAGCTTGTAAAATGTCCTTTGATAATCTGTAAGCTCAAAGGAAAACAAAAAGGTTTCAAATGAAATTGCTGCCACTTGCATGTCTGTCTATCCAACTGCATCTTAATTCCTCCAGAAAACTCACCAGACATGAATTATGTATGGTTTAAAATGTTATAAAGGCATAATATAAGCTTAGCTGCCTGACTGAATTATTCTATTCAAACATCTACCAGTATTTTGAGAGGCTATAAAAAAGGTTTTAGGTCTGAGAGGATCGTACCATCACCACAGAGATCCAAGGAGTTTGTCTAAGGCAGGAGTTGGCAAAAGATGTCTGTTTTAATGAATGAGAATCAGAAAGACAAAGCCTGAGATCATAAATGTTTCACTGAAACACCATCAGATCCTCCCAGCTACGAGCAAAGGGCTGTTTTCATGATTTTTTTGAAGCTTTAAAAAGGAACAAACCTCTGTGACATCTCCACGAGGTGGGCTGAGGAACCACGACGACGCAGCGTGTCGTTTTGTCATCTCCAGAGAGCCTTAATCTGATGCTTAAAAACCACTTTTGGCAGAATCCCCAGGTCTCAAGACTTACCATCCAATATACTGAGAGCGCCCAGTTTTTAAAAAGGAACAAACCTCTGTGACATCTCCACGAGGTGGGCTGAGGAACCACGACGACGCAGCGTCACCATATACTGAGGGTGCCCAGTTTTGTTTTGGAGATTTTGGGGGGAGGAAGGGAAGATAGAATCATAGAAATGATTGGAAAAAACCTCTAAGATCATCCAACCCAACCATCACCCAAGCATGGAAGAAAAGGAATGATCCCAGCAGCCAGGTGGGTGGGGAACCATACCAAAGTGGTGTTTCACATATGACACCAAGTTATTAGAACTGAAAAATAGTAACAAAGAGAGGATAAAAGAGATGTTTTCCACTGCAACTACACTAGTCCATCTCACGATGCCTCCTGCTCCCCCTGAAAGCAGGGGCTGAATGCCCCCGTGGTCCACGTGGCCTTCATCTGCCAAATGGTGAAAAGTCACCTCACAGAAGCAGTTAAAAAGTCCCTTTGGCACACAGGAAAGATGCAGAAGGAACACTGGCATGCCAGGATCATCAAGGCCTCTTACCCAGCAGGGATTAAAAAGGGTGTTTAGTTTGGTAAAGCCATCAGCCCTGACAGATGTCACCCCCCAACCAGCTGGGTAACCCTTGGGGACCACTAAATAACAGATCATCCCCCACAAATCCAGAAGTGCTTCACAAGCCCACACGACAACACACTTGGCTTCACTCACAGATCCCTTCAGACATTTATCAGCTGAGTAATGCACATCACCACCACATGTCATTTGAAGTGGGTAAGAGCACAAAAATCTCCTTATGACTAAAAGAAAGGATTTAGATAAGCAGAATGTAATTACTGAACTGTGAGAAGTGAGAGATGGGAGAGTTCAGCATTCCCTCCTCTTTACAAAAATAGTCACAAAATCCAGGGTGATTTCCACAGCCAGAGATCCTGGGTCCATCTCTCTCAGACCACAGTGCCACCACCAGGCACAAAATCCCAGCAGCACGATGGCAGATGTTCCAGATTTGCCCCAAAGGAGTTAAGGATGACCCACGTCTCCAATGACACAAGCAGTAGGACCCACCACCCACCTTGCTGAGCCTGAAAGAGCTGTTGGTAGAAGCCACAGGATTTTCAGCAACAGAAAACAGGTGGTTGTCAATACATTTGTTTAAAACAGCCTCATATTATGAAGAGTCTCAAAAGTTGTTGGTTTTTTAGGCTCTTGATTTTAGGTTTCTCAGCTGTTGGGTGAATGATCTTGCTGCTGTTCCTTCTGCACGACACAGTGTCAACAGCCTCACTTTTCACTCTCAGTCAACAGCTCTGCCACCAACATTTAGTCACAGGGACAGGCTCAAGATTCAGTCCAAGGATCCCAACAAAGATATGGAAGCCAGCTGGCTACAGAAGCACAACTTTGTCGTTCTTACAAAATGCCCAAGATACTTTTCAGCCTCCTGGTAGGTTACTGACAGTTAAAGAAGGATGTCAAGAGACCATTAAGACAGTCCTGCTCTCCATAGCTTTGCTGATAGTCAGAAGATTGGCTGAAACTTCCAGAACTCTGTTTTACAACAGAACGAGTGCAATACTGAGGTTTTTTTGGTTGGTTTGGGGTGTTTTTTTTTATTTTAGGAGACTAAACTGAACAGCACGGCACATTGTCAGGATTGTGTCCACTCCTGAATATTTCATCACTTTAGTGCTCACATGAAACAAAAGGGATGCACAGAATTACCACTGCAGAACTCGCCTTGCATTATTTACAACCTTAGAGGCTGCAGCACTTCAGCATAATACTGGTAACATGAAAAGACAGAATTTCCCCTCAAGCCACGTTTTCAGTTTCACAGTCTGCAGTGCAACATGATGGAAAGAGGTCTGTGAACCTCCCTCACACATCCCACTCCCTGCCCCTGCTTTCTAAAGGCTGGCCCTCTGGTGTGCAAAGAATCTGCACGGATGAAATCTCCGCAGCGTTCAGCACCAGTGGGATCAGCAAACCCCTGTGCCTCCAGAGGAGAGTACACCAGCCTGCCTAGTTCATAACTCCCACCCCACCCATTTTCTTGCCTTGTTGAAGTCCTCTGAAGTTGCCCTCATTTCCTTCCACGTCTTGTTCAAGAGCTGAATGCAGATGCAGAAGAACTCCTCAAAGGATCTGTCATGGGTGAAGAACATGGGGTGGAAATCGTTGCAGGTCTCACTGGCTAAAAACAGAAGAACAAGGAGAATAAAATGTGGAATAAAACAGGCACAGGATTGAAAACAAAACAAAACAAAACCAAATCTAAAACACAACCAGATGCAAAACATAGAAAACCTTCTAATTGAGAGGAAACCCAGTTCTAGTAGAACAGGGTGTCAAAACATCATCCCAAAAATCCAGCCTTGGTCGACAGTCTTGAAGGCAATGAAGAACCCTATAGAGCTGGTCTGCAGGAGACCAGCAATGAGAACAAGAGGAAGCAGCTACCTGTTTGCCTGAATATTCTCCCAAAGGGTGTTTTGTTTGTGCCAAATTTTGCTGTTCAGGACAGGGCTGAAGCACAAGTCTCCTCATCAAAACACCAGCCCACCCCACTGCTAACAGCACTCATTGCCTGCTGAGAACCAAACCCCAGGCCCCAGCAGTGACAAAATAGTGTTAGATCCATGTAGACATTGAAATGTGAAGCTCTGCTGACCCAGCAGATGATCCACCACAGAGGGAACCAGAGCCATCTAGACAGCCATATAGATGAGAATGATTAAATTTGTTGTTTGGAAATAACTGGAAACAAAAGAAATGGCTCTTCTGTCATCTGTCCCTTATCTGAAATAGATAAAACAAAAACACCAACAAAAAAAAAAATCAACCAAACTTCCTTTTTTTAATCAAATACTGGCTTTAAGGAAGGAAAAAATAAAAGAAAACTCTAACAGTGATTCCTCAAAAAAGAAAAATAAAGGTTGGCAAGACTGCTGTGAATCTCCTTGAGCAAAGAATAGATTTTCAAAAAAATAAAGGCTAAAGTAATGTACCTCCAGTCACCTCTGAGCAATGTTGGAACACAAAGGGCTTTAGCCCAGGACTGAAGAGGACCCCTGCCATAACTTGCAGGGCCACCTCAGTAGGTTGCATATTTATATTGTTTAAAAGCTACCCAAGAAAAGTCAAGTTAACTAAACCCTTCTTCATATACCCAGTCTTCAAATCTCTCAGCTTTGAAAGAACAGCAGAATTATCCAGCGTTGGGATAAATCACCCTTTTCCTGAGGCTGGATGACTCTCTGACATCTGCTTTCTCTCAGTGGAACTGGAGAAATTAGAGGTAAGACTCTCTGCAGGAGGATGTTGGTGGCTCAGGTAGGCTGGCTCCCTGCATCAGCTGGAAACACTTGGTCCTGAGACCTCTTCTAGCCACAAACCACCCTCTCACTCTGTCCAGTCACCTCTGCCACACCAATAGCTCTGCCACAGGAACATGAATTGTGCTCAGAGTCACCCAAACCCCCCCAAAAAAAGGTTTCTGATCTTTCCCAACATGCAACATTCCAGCCACAAAGCAAAGCTCTGAAGCTTAACTGTGAATCTGGAGCTCAATTTTAACACCAGATTCGCTAAGATCTCATCAATTACTCAGCTCCATAGCAAGGACGAGAGTTAATTTTGGAGCACAGGTTTCATTCTAATCAAGTAAACTCCATTTACTTCAAAGGATGTGCAGTCAAGGGGGAATTAGTCCAAGCAGAGACCTATATTTATGAGGCACGACTCAATCCCTTTCAAAGAATAAAACGCCTCGGGCGTGATTTTCAGAGCACCTTCTGCTTCCATTTATTCCGCTGGAGCTGCAAGGGTTCAGCTCTGCCAACAGCCAGCCCTGCAGCCTGGAATCATGGCAGAGCCACAGCAGAACAGGTTCTCAGAGGGCACTCGTCTTTAAGTCCTGAAATACTACAATGATGAGAAGAAATAAAATAACACCAAGCAGAAGAACGCGGCCGATACCTTGGCCGTGTAAATCACAGGGTGAAACAAGGCAATAACCCTCGACAGGCACTGGCCTCTCTGATCCTCCTCAGGGCCTGAGCTCATCCCTGCTCCTGCTGCTGAAAATCAATAAATCAAAAGTAATAGAAAGGCTAAAGATTCTCAGCAACTTCATCATTGGTTCTAACTCACGCTTCTGGGGATAATCAGCCCCCAAAATGGACTGTTGTGGATGCAGAACGAGAGGGGTCATCTCTCCCCCTTGCCACATTTTGTACAAGTAGGCAACATGTTTTATGCCTTTTCAGTCTGAAAATGAAAGAGTAAAAATCACTGTTGTTGATACAAATGAAGAAATTTAGGCCTGGTAGAAAGCAGGATTGATGTCTTAAAGCACAAACCAGATCCTAAGAAAAATTCAAACCCCAATGATAAACAGCTCCCTCCAAACTCCCACCGGCATCCAGAGAGTAGAGGGGAGGGGGGAAATAATCCAGACTTGATTTCAAAGGGAGCTTTTTGCCTGTATGCCTCGAAAATTCTATCCAAAATAAGCAGCACATACAGCCACACAGAACCACACAAGCTGGCTGAGGGACACAAATCATCATGATTATTTAATAACACCATCAAGTTTTAATTACGCCTGTGTGAGATCACCTTCCAAAGGCAAGTCACGGATGTCTGGCCTACATAAATCAGGTGAAGATCTTGTTGATTTTCCTTTCTTGGCATAAGGCTTGGAGCTGTAGATCAATGCCCCTCCTCTCAGGATTTGCGTAGTCCTTCAAGCTTCTAGCTGATCTATAGCTGTGACTTTGAGGAAGAACCTTAGTTCATTCCTCATCATAAATTGTGCTGGCAAAAAAACCCAAAAGAGCTAATTTCTACATGTGGTTCCTTCAGTGCATATTCCTAGTGTCTACCCAACACAATTTTGCCTGTCAGCTCGTTTCCTAAATTACAACAAGGACATTCAAGCATCCCAGCCCATTCAAGCAGTAAACAGAGTTGATATGTTACGTTGTTCCTCTGTGGATTAGTAGAAAACAAGAGGAAAAACAAATTGAGAAAGAAGAAGAGACTTATACTTTCATTTTTTTAACTCCAGAAACAACATCATCAGGGCTGAATTCCTTTTAGCTGTGTCAAGAAGAGTTTGGTATTTGCATAAGCCTGTCTTGGAGGAGACACAGATTACAAGATGATGTTTCAATAACTGCTTGACTTGAAGTACAAGCAGAGATTTGAATTTCCAGGTGAACTGAATGCAGACAATAAGTATTTCTGCAAGACAGGCTCCAGGACAGGACACGGGCACCAGACCAGGCATCAGGCTGCTGTGTCACCTCAACTGTCCATAAAAGGGGTGAACCAAAGGCCACCAGTTCAACAGAAGCTGGTTGATAGCTGGAAGTGCTGACTACATCTTCCCCTCACCTTCAAAAGCAGGCTGTGGGGCTGTAACTAGTTTCCACTTGGAAAGGGGGAAAAAAGAAAAGAATAGGACTTTTTTATCTTAGCATTTATTTTGTGCAATACTTGGAGGTAACACAGAGATAATCCCTCCCCTCAAAGCTCCAACAGCAGAGACACAGAAATACTCATCTCTAGGCAAAGTGCTGCCCCTGATCTTAAGAAAATTGTATTTTCTTCCTGACCCTGCTAAACTTCCACGTTGAGACTAGATACTCATGCCCCACCATGTCTTTCAAATGGCAGATGGTCATTCTTGTGAAGTTCTTCAATCCAAGAAGTGAAAAACCTTGTGCTGGTGTGAAAGCAAAATAATCGCTAGCTGATCTGTCATGAAGAGGAATGCTCAAAATTGGGAACTTGCCAACCCATTGTTTTCCAAATTCATTTGTGATGCTATGGGGAGTAAGTTGAGGTGACTTTTTTTTTCTGTAAATCTAAGGTTTGGACCCATCACACTGGGATTGCTTAGGAAAGACAACTTGCTGGAGCCTCCTCATTTGTGGTTGTCAGCCACGTGCAATTGCCTACAAAATATAACAGAATAGACTTAAGTAGATAATAAAAGTGGTAACACTGCTGTGTAGTCTCAAATATTTCAGAAGCAGGCAGACAGCTTAACCCAAATTGTTCAGTCAGCCATATAACCATGGTCATCTGGCACTGGTGCTGCCACGTATAAAGGGACACCTGTGGTGAGGAGTAAGCTGGGGTGGTATGAACAGATCCTGGGCACCCTGAAACTCATCCAGAAAAGCATCCTGTAATTGCAGCAGCACAATTTGGAGGTGAGGGAAGCAGTGATGCAGCCCTGAGTCCCAGGGAGAAGGTGGTTCAACACCATCTCCAGGGGTACCTGGGATCCACGTGACCCAATCTTCAGAGAGATTTCTGTTTTCTGTGACTGAGCTGCTGCTTAATTCTGGGTGAGTCATAATTCTGGGACTGTGATTTGCCACTAACAGAAGAGAACTAAAGAACAAGCAACTCCAGTGGGCTCTCAGGGGAGGCAGCACCCTAATTTCTGCTTCTCCCTGAAGATGTGACACGGGAACAACTCCTGCCATGACCATTTTTATACATGCAATCAAAAAATTCTCTCCCACAGAGAGCATAAGGAAGAGCTCACCTAATACTGCAGAAACAGCGACTGCCAAGTCACCTACACCACTGATCCCTGGTAGTCTGCTGGCAATAATCTGAGAGAAAACCTTTGGCTACCTGGCACAGGAGAGGGAAACTGTCATTTAAAGCAAGGCAGGTCACTAGCAATGGCAGTGCAGTAATGAAGTAGTAATATTGCTGCCAATGTTTTAATTTCCTTTCCTAGGGAATGGTGCTGTTTAGGAGGCTCAACTGGTATTAAAACAAAAGCCACTCATCCTTTTTACTTTGATTGAGAGAGGGAGATACAAGCAACTAAGCTTCTAGACACAGCAAAATAATGCGAGGAGCTAAGCAGCACTTGTCAAATCCCAAATCTAGGTGAATGATGTGAGGGGTTTGTTTTGTTGCCTGCTGGGAAACGAGCAGGGGATATGTCAGCCACTGTGCAAGATGTGCCCCTGGTCTCCCCATGGGTGTGGGTGTGTTTGTGTCTCACAAGATGGCATTCCAGACAAGGAGATCAGGAGGGAATCCGAATCCAGAATTTCAGTACACACACTTATTTGGGAAAGCAACCAGCAGGGCAAAACCAGCCCCTCTTGAACATGGAGCACCAAAATTAATCAGCAATACATGGCTACAAGAGACTTT